TGATTCATTTTTTAATATAAATGTTTATTTAGATAATGTCTATCGTTGGTGGAATGGCGATACAAAAACAAAAAAGATTATTAGCTAAGCAACCCAACATAATTATTGGTACACCTGGACGATTTTGGGAAGTATTTTCTGAGAATCATGATTACATTCAGACTCTTCGTCATATCAAATACTTAGTATTAGATGAAGCGGATCGAATGCTTGAAACTGGTCATTTTAAAGAATTAGATAATATCCTCACCATTTTATCTCGAAACTGGCAGCAGTAAGTCACAAAAAAAAATGGATATCTATAATAATTTTATCTAAAGTTCGGAAAAAAATAATGAAATAATTATTATTTCATCTTTTAGAAATACGAGTGAATGGAATGATGATGGGGAAATTGTAATAAATGAAACAAAAGGTGAACATTTAAAGTAAACATTAAATGGGTTTTTTATTTATTTATATAATTATATTAATTTTCTCTTTATCGTTTATAGATGTTGAACCACATCAAACATTTATATTTTCAGCAACTTTGGATAGTAATTTGAATGAAAATTTGAAACATAAATGGAGGAACAATTCAAGAAAAAAAGATCAAAAATCTAAAGGAACAATGGGTAATTATATTTATATTAATATTTTATTAATGCTTTATTAATATTTTATTAATGTTTTATTAATATTTGATTAATGTTTATTAATATTTTATTGATATTTTATTAATGTTTTATTAAAATTCTATTAAAAGCCGAGTTGATGCAAAGATTAGAGTTTTATGATCCTGATCCAATATTTATAGATATTACACCAAAAGATTCTGTAGCGGAAACACTTCAAGAATCTAAAATTGATTGTTTGGTTAAAGATAAGGTTGATTTCTGAAAATTAGGTTATCCTGTAAAACTCTAAAATTCTTTAAATTTCATTAAAAATTTTTTCATTAAAATTTCTTAGGATTTATACGTATATTACTTTATTACACGATATCCTGGTCGGACCATCATCTTTGTGAATAGTATCGATTCCATACGTCGACTTGTTCCTATTTTAAATTTATTGAATGTTGATGCTCTTGGACTTCATGCCCAAATGCAACAAAGGCAACGACTAAAGAATTTAGATCGGTATTTAAATCTAATGAATTTTTGAGTAATTTGAATACGTTATGTGATGTGACATAACATATTTATTATATTAATTATCAATTTATATTATTATCAATTATTATTACAAGTTTTAAACAGGACCCAAAAGCTGTAATGGTTGCTAGTGATGTAGCAGCTCGTGGATTAGATATTCCTCTCATTGATCATGTGATACATTATCAACTGCCACGTTCTGGAGATGTAATTATCCTAATTATCCTCTCATTATTATTATGATTATTAATAATTTTATTTTTATTAATAATTTTTATTAACATTATTTTAATTTATGCATTAAATTCTTATAGTTATATGTTCATCGAAGTGGTCGTACTGCTCGTGCAAGTAAAGAAGGTATTAGTTTAATATTATGTAGTCCTGATGAGTTGACTTTATATAAAAAGATTTGCCAAAAACTGAAAAAAGGTATTTCTATTTAATATATTTAATATTGATTGTTTGATTAACAAGAGAATATCATTTTTATTGTTTCTGTTTTTTTTCTGTTTTTTTTTTCTGTTTTGTTAGATAGGATACCCGATTTTCCAATTGAAGCAGGAATAATTAATGCAATGAAACAGAGAACTAATTTAGCAAAACAGATTGATCAAGAACAACACAAACTACAAAAAGTTCGTCTCATTGATTATTATTCATATTTAATATTTTTATTTTATTTTATTTTATTTTCTACTTGATCTTTATTAAAAATTATTTTTTTAATACTAATTTTAGAATATTCATGATGATAGTTGGATGAAAAAGGCAGCAGAAGAATTTGGGATAGAATTAGATGAAGATCTGTAAGTAATAATTGTTTAGTTTTTTTTTTTCATTACAAATTATTTATCATAATAAAATTCTTTGATAATAGAAGAGATGATAATGATAATAATAGAAGATCAAATAATAATAAAAAAGATAAAGTTCAATCATTAAAAATTCAATTAAGACAATTATTATCACAACCATTGGTTCCACGCGGTATCTCAACAAAATATTTAACAAGTGGTATCGTTCGTGATTTAGCTGATAGATTATTAGATGAATCGTCACGTAAGTTTTTAACTTTATTTTTATTATTTTTATTTTTTTGTAGTTGGCAAAATATAATAAAAATAATGTCTTTTTTCCTTTTTTGATAGATAATAATCAGATAATGGGAGTAAAAAGGACAAAAGCGACAGATGATTTTAAATCAAGAAAATCTTCGAAAAAGAAACGAAAGATTTCTTCATGAAGAATTTTTATTCCTATTAATTCTTTTCTTTTTTCTTTTTTTTTTTTTTAATTCATTCATTCATTTTAAATTCTCTCATTCTAATTGATTTCTCTTCATTCTATTTAATTTATTTTCTTATCAAGTTATCAAGATAATAATAAGTTCTCGGCTTTAAATAATCTCATATACTGATAACTTGTGTGAGTCCTTGTAAAAATTTCTTCCGACAAACCTACTTTTGAATATGAATCCTCACCTTTTGGTTCCCATTGTACAACTGTCGAATTTGGAGTAATTATCATATCAATAAATTCATGTAAAAGTGGAATAGCAACATGTGGATGTACAGTAGGAAGATATTCAACCTATTATATAATATAATAACTTTGGTTAATTAAAAAATGATGACAATAATAATAATAAAAGCCAATAATACCAATAATATAATATAATATAATATAATATAATATAATATAATATAATATAATATTTCTCTAAAAATAACAAACCTCAACCAACATGCCTTGATAAGAAGATTGAACAATAGTTGGATTAGCAGCTCGAACAATAAAATCACCTACACTATACGCGTTACCTTCATATCGTGAAGTGGGTCTATGTTGCCATAAATTTTTTAGACTTGAAATAACGATATCCATTTCGGTTTCAGTTTCAATAATACAATCTTCCGATAATACGAATAGTCGATTAATATTGGAATAACCTATAGTGTACAACTGTTTCTTTATCGTTTCACTATTACTAGCGATTTTGGTATCAAAATATAATTTCGCAGCAATCACCCAACGTTCGGGAGTTCGACACGCGAAAATTTCTGTCATTTTTGTATGGAAATGTTGAAGCGCGAGTGGTCCATTTTGCTCTTTAAGAAGTAGTACACTGAAAGTATGAAATGAAAAATATGAATAAAAATGTTTTTAATTAATTAATATTATTATTATCGTACCTTGTTACACCCATTATAAGATTTTTTTTTAAAAAAAAAAAAGTAAAATGAATTCTTTCTTTATAAAATTTATAAGACAATTAAAAAAATAAAAGTTTACATGTGGTACAAATTTATATATACAACTAAGTCAATTGTTAACTTTATTTATCATTAAATGAAATAAAAATTCTTGTAGTTATTATCCAAGTATCAGAATGATTTTTTTTTATAATGTTTGGCGAAAGTCATATAAAATTGAATCCCATTTATACACTTGGTTATATTGTTAATAATTATTTAATATCACATCTTTCTCTTCAATTTGTTGCATCTTTAATGAGTTAAGTTTTATTATTTGTTTTCCTATTTTTTTTTTATATATTTATTATTCTATTAACATTTACGATGTAAATAACAAAATAATTACATTTTATAATTTCATGGGTTGTGGTGCGGTAGTTTTAGTGATCTCGGCTCTAAACAAATCAAATTAAATATATAAAAAAATTAAATATAACAACAAAAAATTATATATATATATATATATTGATTATTTTTTTTATTATATATTTATTATTCATTATTCATTACCTTAACTGTTTAGAAAAATCGTCCTCAACATCTTCATCATCCCAATTATCCTCCCATAAATGAGTTTCTTGGTCTTCTTCCATTTCATTCCAGTCTGAAATAATAATTATTATTATGATTATATGAATGATGATATTAATCATCTATTTAAAAGAACCATTTTCCTAAATTTAATTTTGTAATAAAAAAAAAAAAAAATTACCTTCGGCAGTGAATTCTTCAAATTCGTCGTCTTCCTCTAAAGCACCGAGGTGTGGTATAGTAACCTTTTGGGGTTGAGTATTCTCTTGCTGCTGTTGAGG